TTCGTGTATATATATATATATATATATATAAAAACTATTACATATAAATGTACGAACAAATAAAAACCCAGTGAAGCGGGTACTTGCAGCTAGTATAAAATAAAAACTTTCATGCCATTATTTTATGAAAGTGCTTCATATTTTTATTAATTGTATATCTATTTAATTATAAATTATATTTAAACTTTATACTGATTTCTGAAACAAATACAGTTGAGAAATTTATTGTATATACAAGATATTCTCAGATTTAAGTGAAAAAACTGTAAGCAAGGAATATAATGAATGATCCAGTAGACAAGAAAATATGAAAATTAACATGTATTCCTCCAAAACGTAAAATATTTAGCTTAAAGGCATTTGTGTTTTAAACCAGTTTTTACTTTTGCCATTTATTTTTTACTTTAAATCAATTTTCTCAAGGGCTATCATCCAAGAAAGTCTGAGGAGAGTTTACCTCAAATACATTGTATTATTATAATTTATGGAAAACATGTGCCTAGAAATAATATGGAAAAAGATTTTCATTTATCTGTCTTTCTGCTTTTGTATTTAATATATACAAGTAGAAGCAGAATTAAATATAAAAAGTATTGATTAAAACATTTTTAGGTAGTTCTATAATATGAAGATAAATTTATATTTTCTATGAGAAAAAAAATTGATAGCTGCTCATAATATAATTAAATACAGTCTCTCCTCATTACAGGCAATATCATTTTTTGCATTTCCACTATAACATTATTTAAAAACATCAAAATGAATACTGAATTAAATTACAGCTTCCATGAGTTAATCATCATATGTATAGCTGTGTTATATACGTATATTATAAGTGTTCAGTTTTTCACAGGTTCAGGATCTGAAGCATCACAAATGGTATTTTATCTACTTAAATTTATAAAATTACAACAAACCCTTATTTTACTGTCATTTCTCCAACATTCAATTGTGTTGGAGAAATGACAGTAAAATAAGGGTCTGTTTTAAAATTATCAATCCAGTGACCCAAAACCTTCAAAGAAGCTAGGAAAGAATGATCGAGTCTCAATTTTTGTCAGTTCATTAATAATCTAGTTAATAGATAAACCAATTGAAAAAAATAAAATATTTCATAATAAATTTTAAAGATAGTTATTTTTTATTTTGGAATTGTATCCATATTTTATTTATGTAAAAGTCTACTCACTTTATGCAATAGTTTCTTGGAACCGATTAATCAAGAAAAAAATAACTTAAACTTGTTGAACTAGAATATAAAAATATAACTTTTATTAGCACAATTTTTAAATATGTCGACAGACTGAACTTCCTATTTATTGCAATTTAAACTTGTTAACTTAATTCGAATAATAATTTTTAATTGTATTACAATTATGTTGCATTAGTCAATATCATAATACTTTAATATCGGTATCAGTTAATAAAAAACAAGATATGACATTTATATGAATATGTTAATTAATTTTAAATTAGAATCATAACAAACAAACTCTGTTACTTATGTTTTTGACCTTATTGAAAGGCTATCATTAAGCTAGATAGCATTAAATGTTAGAAATTTAAATTATAGCCATACCATGGTGTTCAAAATCTAATGTTCCTGAAAATGGTTTGGATATTGGAGAATGTTTTAAGTATTTCTTATGGAAAAATTCTAAATTGTTTCCAGTCCATCCGAATAACACCCAATTTCCCCATTGATAATACAGAAAAACATTATGAATTTAACATGATATTAAATTTATTACAAACTCCAATTATGTTACTAACAAACACTTAACAGATTCATTAAATGGTATGTTTGTAATCAGTAATGTAATAATAAGTGTTGTATAATAATACTGTATCTTTTACAATAAAATATTTCTGTATGAAAGTAGAACAATAAAAATAAATAGACAAGATAGTGAACCTGCTTAATAAACTTTTAAGCAGGTTCACTATTAAGCTGTTAAGCTTGTAAAATTGCGTAACTGCATTAGAACATAGGCACGATGCCATTGAAGCAAACAAAAACAGATCTGGGAATAGAGTCATTCCCCACTTGCCACTTTCATTAGTGTGACTTAAATTTTTCACAAATATTCTTTAAATAAGTTTGTAAAATTATGATTCTTTATTATGGATATTGCAATGGATACTAAGAACGTTGTTCATTGCATGAAAATTTAGATGCAGAGTGCTTGACTTCATTGGTTAGATAGTATAATACTTTAATTTAAATAAAAATATCCTAAATCACAAAATAGTTTTATTTGTATTATGCTATACCAAATTTCAGTTTATGATTCTTGATTGATGAATTTTAAATCAGTGAAGGTAATACTTAAATAGTTTATTATTTTCTACTTTAATTTGTAATCTTATATAAAAATTGATTGAATAGAATTTGAATATTAATTTGTATATAATTTAATTATTTTTTATGTTTAAAAAATTTATTTTAATTTTATTTACTTTCTATCTTAACAGAAAAGCAGTCGATGGATGATGATTACTCAAAAATGGATCCTTTGAAGAAAGAATTTAACTGTCAGAAGTGCCAGAAAGTTCTTTATCTTACTGCTGTGGAAATATTAAAGCATAAACAAAAACATTTGTCATCTGAAAATATTTTACCGAGTTGTTCTAATTCATCCAGTAATAAATAAAAAGTTTGTTAATAAAATTGTTAAAAATATTTTTAACATTCTGATGAACATGATGTTATATTTTAGTGTTTTTCAAGCTACTTTTATTTTATTTTATATGTAAATCTCAGTTTGATAACTTTTTCAATGATTATTTTATTCCAATTAAAGAAAAATGATTAAATTCTTAAATATCAATTGAAAAACACTAAAATTTAGTGCAGAAAGGAAAAATTTTTAATAATGTTTCAACTTTTTATAGACTTTAATTAAATTTTGATTGTTCTTAATAATTAATTATTATTATATCTTATTGCATAAATTTCATGTTTACTTGAAGAAATAACAAAAATCTTCATTAAAAAATTGTTTATTCATAAATGGATTTATGTTAATTATTATAATCAAAGAAGTTAACATGAAAATTTAATGTAATTTTCTATGTAACTCGGTCTAATCCCAAGAATATTTAATATGCAATTAATGTAATATATTCATGAAATAATCTAACTGGCTGATTTCTAGATAAACAATTTATACATTAAAATTTATAAGTTGGATATAATTATGATTATAAAATAATAATTCTAATTGAAAATATGAAATTTTATGTAAAAAAATGTTTTTTTAAGTGTAGATTAATATATACACTTATTCAGAGAATATAATTTTGATAGCCACTCAAGAGCGAACATTTTTTGCATGAGATTTTTATGTTTTAAAATGTTATACATTGTTTATTTAATGATTAATCAGCCATATTATCATTTCATAAACAAATTTTGTTCTATGCACAAATGTATATATTGTATATATGTAATTTTACCGTAAATTATACAAAGGAGACAATATGATTCTTACTGTGAATAAAAACTTTTATTATACATCTGTGCATTCGAATTTTTATTAAAAGTTAAATAAAATAAAATTTTCTAAGTTTATTTTAAAAATTTAACAAACAAGTATTATTTATTTATACAATTTCAAAATATAGCATTGCAATTTAACAGATGATAGAAATACTTTTATTGATAAAGTCAAGTAAATTTAATATAAAAAAATTATACTTTTAAATTATAATTTTATTTTATTATAATTAAAAATTATGATTTATTTTACAGAAATGTTCAATTGAATTTTGTTAAGACTAAATATATACTGATAAATAATAATGTAGAATTTACTTATTGTAATCACTTTGGGACTTGGACTTGTCTGTATTCATGACAACCAATTGACAACATTAAATGGAGTAAGTAGACTATTATTAATGAAAATTCCGGATTTATTGATTCTGACATTAAGACATTAAAACAGTAAAAAAATTGTATAACTTTGAAATTTATTACTTATTATTAATTCATCCTGAATCTCAACGTTGAAGTACTTTTTCTTTTCTAAAAACACAACTAAACTATAATCCTGTCTTTATCTGTAAGATGTGCTTTATCAGAAGTTTTGACTGAACTTTGTAAGTCAAAATTTTCTTCTTACACTTAATTATTTGAAATTAATTTTGGATTTTACAAAATACAAAACTCCTTTTCATTCAGCATGTAGTTGAAATAACAAATATCAACAATTTAAGCTGTGTTGCGAACAAATAATGATTAAAACACTGTTTAACATTTAAAGCACTGGTTAAGATTGGTAATGATTGCACATTGTCAGTTATACACTGTCTGATAGTACAATGAAAATGCCTATTTAACTGAAGAAGTTAATCTCATTAAGTTTACAAGTGTTTTGTTACATAAGGTCCAAAGTAATAATTTCCCTTACAATTGAAAACACTACAATAAGAGGCACAGAAAAGATAAAGTCTAAATAAATTAAAATAGATGTGATTTAAATTCTTTTAGCTAAAGTCACATGCAACACGTGCACACATCATCTAAAAAAATACTAGATATAATGTCAATACTATTTCTAATGTTACATGGGGGCTAAGGCTTATTCACCTTCAATGAATTCAGTAATTAAATCATAACAGTCTCTGTGATTATAATAAGTGACTTCTACCATATTTTAAAAAATATTTTAAGCACGATTTATAGATTCACACACAAATTAATAACAATAAAGTTTCTTTTATTTATATCATTCTTATTTGACATTTTATACAATAAATGAAAGCAATAATAAACTATAATTAATTATATTTTACAGGGTCAAACAGGAAAAAAAAAAAATGTGTGTCCCAACAATATATATAAAGCAATGGATGACATAATATTTATACAAGGGCACAATTATGTTCCCTGGTCTTTATTATGGCCATGATAATAAGTACTGTGCAGTTTTTCTCAAGTAATAAATTATATACATGTTAATATCTATGAAAAGTATTATTATGTAAAATGTGCATTTTGGATGAGAGCCCTAAAAATAGGAAATTTTCATTTGTTTCGAATAAAAATAAATGAAATATGAATATTAACAATGTTTAACCTAATGATTCTCCATTAGAATTTATCAGAAATTTACAAAATATTATAAATTATTCACATTTGTTTCAGCTGCAAACAAAAAAAAAAAAAAAAGAATTATTATTATACATAAATATCTGTAAAATTCTTATTGCAAACTCCTCATGCTCAAAAAAAATAAAATAAAATAAGATAAAAACTACACACACCTGTTAATGTTTCTATAATATTCCTGATTTAGTGGGAGATCATAAACAATAGATTATCAAAAAAGTATATATATATATATATCTTAATTTTTTTTATAAATTTTTATTAAATAGTAATTAATTTGGCACTAATTCTTCAACATGAATAATGCCAGACTTTCATCTAAAACAGAAAAAAATAACTAAATTTACATAGCTTCAGATACATATTCTAGGAAAAAAAACTTGTTTTCTTTAACATTATTAATAAATGTAAATAATAATTTACTATTTTTTTAAGTCTAAATCCTTAAAGTCCATAGAAAACAATAACATAAAAGATTCAGAGACAAAGTCTCGGATGATTTAGTCCAGAAATTTATTGATTTCCTCATAAAAAATGAGATCTTATGGAAGTCTCCCCCATTGATCTTTATTGCTTTCCCTTGACTTTTTCAAGATCTCATTCAAGATTTAATCTTGATATTGTTTTGTGAGGATTTCTGCACAAGATATTGCACGGAGAAGTCCTCATGGAGACAAATAGTGAGACTGGAATTTTATGATTGTTTCACTGTTTATATCCACCTATTAAATCTATCATTTAATCTCAAAACTTGTTTTCTGTGGATTTTTTAAGGAGTTTTCTGACTTAAATTTTTCCTGATGTTTCAGTTGTGTTTATTATTTATAAACAGGTTGCTCAGTGTTTTTGAGAGAAATGAGCTGAGTATTTTTTTTAATAGAAGCCATCACCCGGAATTATTCTCTCATATGTCCAACACATTATCTGCTGGCATTCAAAATGTACATTTACATATTCACATAAATATTCAGAATTTAAGTTATTGATTCTCATTATTTTATTAAAATGATGCATATAAACACACGACAGATTATATTATTGTTTTATTATTAATTTTTTTACTTTTATAATTTTTTTTTTTAATTTAAACAATTATATGAAAGCATTCTTCTAATTTTATTGCTTATTTCTGTTAATAGTTAATTAGTGAATTATATTTTATTATATGAAAATGAAATATGTTTTTCTATTTTGTTACTATTGGCTCATTGTCAGTGATGGTTTTAGGCATTGAGCCTTATGTTTAGGGCCTCACACTTTTAGAGGCCTTAGATGTGCACATATACTTTGTACTCCAGTACTAGCTAAGTCCTTAAATTTTATACAATATTACGTACTTTGTGATGAGGGCATTACGCTATAGACTTGTATAAAAGGGGGCCTCGTGAGTTTACGCTTATCTAGGGCCTCTTGCCGCCTAAAACCGCCACTGCTTGTGGTAATAAAATAGTAAATCATCTATACGTATTTCAGCCATTCAGAAAAACAGGAAAATATGACTGAATTGTTTATAATTAACAAATAATATAATCAAAATAATAATAATAATAATTTGAAGTACACTGACCTCAAATTTAACTAACATTTATAATAGTCTCACTAAAATAATCCACATTGCACTAAACTGACCATAAAAGTGCAAAACTTTAAACATTCTGAACTGATGTATAAAAGATTTTGCTCCAGTTTGGAATGTTTAAAGTTTCATTCAACTATTAAAAAAAAGGGAAGTGTGTTCTTTATGAGCAGTTTGTGTAATTCCAATGGGGCAGTTTGTGCAAGAAATGAATTTAAAAAAAAAAATAGTTCTAAAAATTTATACACATGATTTAACATTAACTCTTTTTGCACATTTTCTCGTAAGTCTTGCAGCAATTCTGTTTCACAAATTGATGTCCGCAGTATCTTGTGCCAAATCTTTGGAAAAATCTCTTGCAATCCAATCCTCTTGCTAATTGTTCACTTTTATCTTGACAATCTAAAGACACACATAATTTTATGAGCTAGATTCATACAGATTCATAAATTAATTAAGGAGAACATGCGTTATACCGTCTTCATCCGACACCGTTGTATATACATCCGCTTCTTTCACGCTGCCCTGAGTAGTAGTGTGTTGACGCACTCTCGACCTGTATCTGGATCTCTGAGAAGGTTGTGGTACCTCTTCGGTATCCGCCCTACTCTGTGGTCCATTGACAAAAGTTTGAGTAACGTGAGAGTAATCTGGGATGATGTTATCTATTTCTGTGATGCACTTTCCATTTCTGCACACCTGTACACATGAAAAGATGCCTATAAACTTTAATTTAAAGGTACATTTAATGTGAAAATGTAGGATTTTTCTTCCTTTGTATCTGTTAAACTAGTTTACTAAACAATATTGTTCAGCTCTACTTAGAAACTGGAAAATATAATTATGAAAACTAAATTATAGTTCATTCAATGATTCATTTTCTAGATGAATTCCATTTCCTGTTATTTTTTACTTCTGGCTCTTGACCTATGAGCACTAAGGCCTTTTAATTATACCCATTATAGATTTGGCCAGTCCGCATGGATGTTGAAAGACAAGGCTCCAAATAAAGCGCATTTAACAATTTGCATACCTTATCATAGTTAAAGGCCTTACCTTCTTAAAGTCAGGTCCATATTAATGTTGAGAGAAGAGGCTCATTAACAAATGGGCATATCTTACCTCTTTTAAGGCTCATTACTATTATTATTATTCTATATATGTATTTGTATAATGCTTCTAAAGAAATTGAGCTAAAATGTTCTTGGTCCCACTTATCGTGGTTAATCCACCCATGAAAATTTCTGCCCACGTATGAATCCTGTTATACTTACATAGGAATTTGTGTAAATATTTACCTGACCATCCCCACAGCTGGATCCTTCTGCAGCAGGACGATAGGATACACAATATCCTGATGCACTATCGAAACAAAAGAGTTGGGCGCACACCCTTGCATCTTTCTGAAGAATATAAATTGAAATATCATTATTATGAATCCGTATAGATTCATTTTATTAAATAAAAACTATTTTTAAAATATATTACAGGTTCTGTATACAAAAATTCTAATCCAAAACATTAATTGTTCCACTTACAGGAGATATGTAACGTTCTTGGCTGAATGCCAACCAGTGGTATAACTAATTTGGGTGTACGCGCGTTTAAATTACGGGTGGATATTCGGAAACTTTAAAGTATCCACCAGTCATTTGTACATATTTTACACATTAATATCATGTAAAAGCTATATTTATTCATATAAATTTAGCTTTAACATACAAAAATTCCGTCCATAAACATCAAATGTTCAATGTACAAAAGAAATGGAACATTCTTTGTTAGGTGCCAACCCGGCCTGTATCTAATTTGGGTGCGTATTTATGTACTTCAGCCTTGATGAACACGTAAAATTAGGTGGATTTTTATACAAATTGTTAAGAAATGTCGTGTGAAAACAACTTTTACTACTATACTAATTAAAATGATATAAAAATTACTTACAAAACAGGCGGTTGTTCCTCTATCTCGTTTGCATTGTTCATCTAACGTGAACATGGTGCCTGGTAGTACTCGAGGTAAGAGATCATTTTCGTGTGGGAAATTATAAAGGCACGATGCTGTTTCGCCGCTATAACGAATTTTTCATTAATAACAACGAATTTAATTAGTAAATTAAGAGGATGGGGTGGTGACGACATACTTCAAGAAGTGTTTAAATTGTTCGATACTACACGAAGACCATCTGAATCCTCGTTCTGTATGCCTCAGGTCACTCATAATGAAACCATCTTCCCAAGGACAATGAGTAGCACCTGGTCCTCCTAAGTAACTGGGGGGTGGTGAACCATCGTGTACGCAACCCAAACTGAGGAAACACATTAATTTTATTTTAGTTATTAAGGAAAAAAAAGAAAAAAATCTATCCTCTCAGATCCTTGATACATCATTACCCACGCCGTTATTAACCTCAAATTACTTAAACACAGAATTGTAAATTGAGGGGGTGAGAATACCTGTTTTGTTTTAAAGCATAAACTAGAATAGTTCCGAAAAAAAGAATATATTTTTATAGGGAAACTTTTTAGTAGGATGACACGCGATGTCAAAGGGCACTTACAGATGACCTATTTCGTGAGCAGCTACAATGACTCCACTGAATCCTCCACTGTCCTCGATGATTGCCACACTGTTGACTTTCTCCAGACGTTTGTTGACTACACAAGCACCCCCCACATAAGCGAAACCTAGAAAAAAAAGAGTTCATTATTTTATACACTTTCACATTTATGCAACTTATCTATGTTATCTAAATCACTTGCCTGCGGTTCCTCTGTTGCATCTCCCTCCTTCGAATCTCCTCCTGCACATATCTAGTTTTGTAATGACTACTGCCAAATCGTAAGTGGGCAAACGATTTTCACGATACAGGTACTTTCCCATATCTGTCAATGCACCAGCAGCATCCACAGCATCGTGATTAGGATGACGTAGACGATTTCTCTCTAGATAAGGCGTGGCATCCCGATCCTTACACAAAAATCGCGACAATAACACATTAAACTCCTTAATTTTTATTTTTAATAATGTAAATTAATGCATAGTTTTAAATTTTCTTAAATTTTTGGGTTTTATTGCAGGTTATTTTCGCACTCGTTTCAAATCATCCGAAAAAAATCCAGTTCAAATTCCATTTTGGAGTACAGGAAGTGAATTTTCTGCGTGTATTCACCGAGCAAAACAAGAAAATTAGGTCTTCTTCTAAGGAAATGTAAGCATATCATTTACAAAACAAGTTTTTAAAGCGATTTTTCAGGGATTAAAACTTTACTTCTTGTAAACCATAATGTTTAAGGATAAAATAGGGATTGTATTTAATAAAATAAATAATTTTTCACGAGAAAATCTGCCATATTTTATAACTCAAAATACTTTTTCTTACTCCCGTTTCGGATCATTAAACTAACTGAAATTTGAAAGTACAGTACATAAAACACATCGGCAATTTTTTTCTTTGTTTCGCTTCGCTCGGATACATACATAAATTACACAACCTCATCTTAATTTCCTTTGTTAAATATGACTTATTTTACCTTAAATAGAGATAAATATCTTCTATTTAAGGTAAAATAAGTCATATTTAACAAAGGAAATTAATGCCAAACAATTGCCGTGTTTTAAATTGGGCTACGACGAGGCTAATTTAATAATTACATATAAAGCAATTTGGCTGTAGACGGGCGTTCGAACGCCCTCTTATGGTAAATTTAATAATTAGAAATAAATTAAATTTACCATCAGAGGGCGTTTCGACGCCCGTCTATAGCCAAATTGTTTTATATGTAATCATTAAATTAGCCTGGTTATAGCCCAATTATTTAAAAAAAGTAAATTAATTAAATTTAATAAATCAATTCCATACCTTAGCCACAATCATTCCGGCTAAACTGATCCTAACTCGAGGAAAACTTAATAATTTATAACGAAGATCGACCTGAAAGTATTACGAGTTAAGATAAAGAAAATAAATAAATAAATGGTAGTCAATGATGCTTTGCGAGTAAATATAATACTCACTCCATTAAAGAAGCTAACAAAATAACGTTTAACATCGCGACTGTTACTTCCGTGAAGAAGAAAAGTATCGTAATCGGCGACCATTAGTACTTCCGGCCATACTGTATCTGGTGCTGCTCTTTTTCTTCTTGAACTAGAAGCTTGATGCAGCTTTGAGGTGTTGAGTAGACTAGCTGATTCCATGTTAACTAGGTAGAAAACTTACATTAAAGTTCTCCAATTTATTAGAAAGTCAAGCTTAACACCTAAAAAAAAAGTCTGGTTTATCACCCCTGAATGTATAAACCCCGTTATAAGGGCATTAAAAGTACATTAAAACCCCTAGTTTGTGACCACCAGTTTCGAAGAAAAGTGATCTTTTAGAGGGGTTTCTCACAAAAGAAGACAAAGTTTATGATTGTAGAACGTTAAACCCCGTTATAAGGAAAGTAAAAGTACAATGAAACACCTACTTTGCGACCGCAAAGGTGGTCTTTCAGAGGTTGTTTCACTGTATATTAAGACGTGAATGTAAAGATAAAGTAAAGGTTAGATGGAAATTTTAACATTTGTAAGCAGGATTAATTATATTTTATGCTTATAACGAATTTTGTTGGTGTGGGAGAACGTGTTTTCTAACAAGGAATTACTTTTTTTTCACTTGTTCTATAAAGGAAATTTTGTAGAAACGTGCTTACTAAATATAGTTTTTTTTTTAATAGTTTTATAACTTTTTACTTAATATAAACTTGTATTTATTTAAAAAATACAAGTTAATAAATAAAAATATAAAGCGTTATTTCGAGTGTAAGGCAGTTCCATGTGTTAAAAGGCATTTTAATAAAAAATATTTTAAAAAAAGTAACTAAAAACCCGTCTAAAACGGACCCTCTACAGAGATAAATCTCGGAAAGAGCTGGTATCTATGCAAGATATAAGCCAGAAACCTGTCTAACACGGAAATGGGACTTTTTGGATGTAATAGCTTAATAAAAACAAACCTTTATAAAACGGAAACTTGGCAAAATGGAAAATTCTGGTCGATAGCACCCATTTTAGACAGGTTTTACTTTACAGGTAAGTTTAAATACAATAAAAATTTGTCTAAAACAAAAACCTACCTAAAAGGAAGAAATTTCTTCGTAATGGAGAGATTTTCTATGTTAAAAAATAAATACACCTGTTTAAAATGGAAACCTGCTCAAGCCGGAAAAAATATACGGTACCGTGCGATTTCGGTTTACACAGGTTTTACTGTACTTCTCCATCTTCTCCAATACATTAGTTTCAAAGGCAAATAGTAAAATTGTATAGGGCGAACAGAAGAATAAATAACCACGAAATGTGCATTAATTCAGAAATTATCTTCTGTTACGCCGAAAATCCGCTTTGCACAGGTTNATAGTTTTTTTTAAAATAGTTTTATAACTTTTTACTTAATATAAACTTGTATTTATTTAAAAAATACAAGTTAATAAATAAAAATATAAAGCGTTATTTCGAGTGTAAGGCAGTTCCATGTGTTAAAAGGCATTTTAATAAAAAATATTTTAAAAAAAGTAACTAAAAACCCGTCTAAAACGGACCCTCTACAGAGATAAATCTCGGAAAGAGCTGGTATCTATGCAAGATATAAGCCAGAAACCTGTCTAACACGGAAATGGGACTTTTTGGATGTAATAGCTTAATAAAAACAAACCTTTATAAAACGGAAACTTGGCAAAATGGAAAATTCTGGTCGATAGCACCCATTTTAGACAGGTTTTACTTTACAGGTAAGTTTAAATACAATAAAAATTTGTCTAAAACAAAAACCTACCTAAAAGGAAGAAATTTCTTCGTAATGGAGAGATTTTCTATGTTAAAAAATAAATACACCTGTTTAAAATGGAAACTTGCTCAAGCCGGAAAAAATATACGGTACCGTGCGATTTCGGTTTACACAGGTTTTACTGTACTTCTCCATCTTCTCCAATACATTAGTTTCAAAGGCAAATAGTAAAATTGTATAGGGCGAACAGAAGAATAAATAACCACGAAATGTGCATTAATTCAGAAATTATCTTCTGTTACGCCGAAAATCCGCTTTGCACAGGTTACGTTAGTCGAGTCGGGTGTCCGCGTTAGACAGGTTGCGGTTTATAACGTTATTTTACATGGAAAAATCGAATCTGGATATCTATTTTTGTCTTAGGACAGATGCAGGTGGAGATAAATTTAGTTTTTATTTAAAGTAGAGAAAACGATTTTTATTTATAGTTTAAAAAAGTAGAATATTAATTAAATAAAATATATTTACAGGTTATATTTATAGAATTTTTCAAGCAATTTTTCGAGTTATAAATAGAGATAAAAATGGAAATATTTTCGAGAGTAACGAACGATATTCATCATATTCACATCATATTTTTATACAAGTAACCGGTGAGTAACGTGATCAAAATTTTGCTTACTGAATTTTAATGCAGAGAAGTGAATTTTTTTTAAAAAAATACTTTGCACATTACTAGTTTTTTGTGTTTTTTTTTCTTCTATTTTGCTTAAATGGGGAGAAGTTATTTATACTTTATTAGAATTTTAAAATACAAATTTATACAGGGAAACGAGGAAAAAATAGTTTTTGTTTTCTTTTTTCTTAAGTTTTCCATTTTTATAATTGGAACTTGTTTAAGCAACCGATTCAAAAATATTATTTTAGGGGGCTGCAAATCTAGTTTATCATCTTAGAACGTTAAACCCCGTTATAAGGGTATTAAAAGTACAGTAAAACCCTTACTTTATGACCACCAGTCCCGAGCAAAATTGGTCTTTTTCAGAGGTTTCACAAAAGAAGACAAGTTTATGATTCTAGAACGTTATAACGAAATTAAAAGTACAGCAAACACCCTATGTATAAGTCTGGAATCTGCAATTTTCAGATTTCAGGCTTATACATTCCCACTGTACGTCTATCCGTCTGTACTTCGTTAATCTCAAGAAGTATATGGAAAGCTTGAGAGAAGACCCGATTATTTACTGTTTAAATTCTAAGAAATACACTCGATTTTCTTTTTCATCTTACGATAGTCGGAATGGTCGTGTAATCCTCCAAATTTCCTTTTAAATACTATATGATTCCCTCCTATATTTTGCGAATTATTGAAATTTGCTCTCGTTTTATTCAATTCTATCTGCTCGTCCTCATCCAGGAACATCTCATCATCAACGTACGACGAGTCGTAAAGTGTTTTAGGGATTGGTTTAATGACAAAATCGTTTCCTATCGTCCCTTCCTGAAATTAATTTACATAATTAATTAATACACAACATAATTCTATACAAATTTCTATAAAATTTCTTGCCATTTCGATTCCTCCGTCCTCGGCTTGCCTCATCAAAATGGCTGCCATTTTCTCGTCGTCGTGATAAGTAGATCCTAAGTCGGATGAACCTCCCTGAAACAGTAATCAATAAACGTTTAAGTTCAGTAGGACGATTCTAAAAATAATTATGTGTAATATTTATAAATACAACATCCATTTAAAGTCGATAAAAATCAGTTTTCCGGGGTGAAAACTGCGCTTTATCAGTTTTATCAAGCGTTATAATTGACAAGTTAGGCGTTCCGATTTCGTAGAAAATTCGGATAGACCGACATACTTCCTTTTAATTTCCTGCTTTTTTGTTATTATTATTATTATTAAGTTTATGCAAGTTCAGATTGGGTCAAGCGGAAGTTTTATGAGCTGGAATTTTTTTGTTTCGATCACTTCCTCTTGGGTCAAATGATGAAAAAAAAGTATAGAGATCCATTGGTATAGATCAACAGATTAGAGAATGATTCGTGGAGTTTTGATAGGAAATAGTTGGTGCCGATCGGGAGATAAGGTTTGGAACCATTGGTTTCTGTTATCACCAATGGTTTATTGTGTGACTTCCCTTTCGTTTCGACTCGTAAAAATGAAAATATTTTCGAGAGTTTTCCTGATTTTTATACGCTTTGTACAGTCTTATGACACGTAACTTGCTCGAACAACTTAATTTTCTTACAATAAATATAACAATTGTTAAAAGGGAAAGTCGTCTTATGTAAGATATGAAACAAAAAAAAAGTCATAATGGTGCTGAAGTAACCCCTTTGCAGGTCATTCACAATTACAAAATGGTAATTTGTCCCGCTTTCGCTATTATAATTTTAGAAGACAAGTAGGCCTTACTGTTTTAATTCAGGTCTATTATACAAATGTCAACATTACTACTTCATTGTTTTCGTGTGTAAACGTTTATAAACTCATCTAAACACGAACGGTAACCAAGTAAACACTTTATATATGAAGTTTAGTGTATAAACCAAATGTCCACATAAAGAAAAATCGAAGATCTGTACGGAAAATACTTGGTTTTATTTCGAATTCAATTCGAAACCACGTTCTTTGATGCTCTAGTTACAGAACATGTTAACGAAAAACGTAGGTTCGGACTCTATTCGGGTCTCTATCTAGGTCTTATTTTTTTGTGGGCATATGATAATACATACACTTATACATACATAACTTACATACTAAATTACTATAAATAATACTATACACTAGTGGTTACAATTAACTGTACTATAAATTACTGAATGAATTCTTGTGTATTGTTAATTTCAACTGCATTCAAACTTCGATATAAAACGCCATCTTGTAAAGGATCGTACTGTACCATAGATATTAAGCAGAGATCTTCATTATTTGTAATTTATTAAATGCATTTTGCATTTTAAACGACATTGTTATTACTATATCACTTGGACCACCAGTGTTTGAGTGGAGAGATACCATTGCTTGAGTGGATAACACCGCTGCACGTCGTGGGTTGGTGTCTTTGGTCAGGTATCAACCCACGACTGGCCTGGTCACGTGGAGTTTTTTTAACGTGTCTAACACCTAAATAAGGCCCATTTTATAATTCTAATAATTTGAGTTACTTCGGTTTAGCGCCACCCTCGACTTAATGCCAGATTCAAAGGCGATCAAATGCAGAAGTTTGACTACATTAATTCAGTACACGAACGAATTATACTTAAAACACCGTACCTGTTGAGCCGTAACATCGCGGTATTTAAGTCCATTGTTTGTAGTTTCCGCCAGTAACACTTTAAATTTCTTTAATCTTTCTTCGAAATCCTTATTCTTCTTCAAGTTTAATTTCATCTTCTTTCCGAAAGCAGATAAATATATCCTTTTGATTTCCCCATCGGATATTTCGCGTTTAGTTAGAGATCTGATGTTTATTACTTCGTATACAGGGACTGGAAAGATTTAAAAATACACATCACATATTAATTGATTTCAATAATTTAAACATGATTAAATACGTAATAATATGCAAGACATTTTAAAATTACTAGCTCGTGAAGGGTCCTGTACTGTATCATTTTTATTAATAGGTGTAATAGTATGGTAATGGTGCAATATACCTTTATGGAGCCAGAGAAGAAAGTGTATTAGGGGTTCCCACGTACAGTGTTGACTTAAGATTTCTTTTGGGGAAAATATTTTTGCCATTTTATAATAATAAAATCTCATAATAGATAGGGCTACACACAATTTTAACTTTTGCTGGGAAAGTTACGCAACTGGATTTTAATTTTCAAGACTTCTGTATGTTTATAAACTATAAATAAATATATGTAAACATTCTTCATGATTAATATTATGAAAAAATGTACAAGATGTACAGGATATACATTTTTAGATTGTGGAATGTATATGAATCCTGTATATGAAAAAAAAGGCCAAGAACATTTGAGGAATTCTGTAAAATCCTGGCTTTTTTCACATTCAGGATTCATTTATATCCCGTATAGTTTATAAATATATGTCCTGTATATAAAAAGACAAACATTTGGGAAATTTATAGAATATTTTTACCTATTCTTAGTAATATCCTGGAGCCTGAAGAATGTGTACACAGTTGTAATGTATTAGACATTCTTAATTATATTCATTTACAGGACTTAAATGTGTTTTTATGCTCGTAAATTCCAGTAAATTGTATAAATATAGAAGGAATTTAAGAATCCTGCTCATTGTATATTTAGTATTATGATTTATTTTAACTTTCTTGTGCTATAATAAATTTAACGTTTAAGAATTTTTATACACGAATTGCATCTAGAATTAAGAATTGATTTAAATATCTCAAGAAAAAATAAAATAGTATAGAATCCTGAGAATTATTAACTCTATTTAAATATCCTGTGAATTAATAGACTTAAAACTAGGATTTAATTTAAACATCACGTTCAATAATAGATTTTCCAGCAGGGTTTTCAGGATTTCAAATCTAAATTTAAATATCCTATACATTAATAGGTTTAGAATCAGGATGTGGTGTATAGATTATGCAATAGTAGAATTAAGAACAGGTAATTCAAATATCTCGTGTATTCATGATTTAGAATTAGGATTTCACTTAAATATCCTATGCAGAAAATTTCCAGGAGGCAAAGCTTGGAGACAAATAATTACATCAGTAAATTTTTA